CCTCATGCCTCAGCCTCCTAAGTAGCTGGGACTCCAGTGGCATGCCACCACACCCAGCCAATTTTTTATTTGATGGTAGAGAAGAGGTCTCACCAAGTTGCGCAGGCTGGTCTCAAACCCGTGGGCTCAGACCATCCTCTCACCTTGGCCTGGGATTATAGGCGTGAGCCACTGTGCCGGGCCCAGCCAATAATTTCTTATCAGAAGCCATGGAGGCCAGAAGGCAGTGAGAGGGCACATTCAAAGTGCTGAAAGAAAAACAAGACACACATACACACACACACACACACACAAAACCTGCCAACAAGTAATTCTCTCCCTGGCAAAACTATCCTCTGAAGATGAAAGTGCAATTAAGACATTCCCAGATAAACAAAAACCGAGATAACTGATTGCTAGCACCCCTGTCCTCCAAGAAACGCCCAGAGGAGTCTAGCAGGGAGAAAGAGGGCAGTAGACAGTAACCCTAACCTACAGAAAGAAAAGAAGATATAAAAGCCAGCCTTCGTGTGTTTTTGATTTGTAATTCCTGTGCTTTCTTAGACGGTGCTCAGAAAAACAACCGTAGGAAGCAGCAATTAAAACCTACGTTGGCCGGGCTCGGTGGCTCAGCCTGCTATCCCAGCACTTTGGGAGGCCGAGGCAAGTGGATGACCTGAGCCCGCGGATTCTAGACCCGCCCGGGCAACTTGGTGAGATCTCGTCTCTATGATAAAACCAAAAACTAGATAGGCATGGTAGCGCGCACCTGTAGTTCCGGCTACTTGTAAGGCTGAAGAGGAAGAATCGCCAGAGCCCAGCAGGTCGATGCTGGGGTGGCCGTGAGCATGCCACTGCGCTCCAGTCTGGGCGACAGAATGAGACTGACTCAAAAAAAAAACAGTCAGACACAGAAGGCCACATATTTCTTCGTTTATACGAAACATCCAGCATAGGCAAATCCACAGACACGGGGCTAGCCAGGGGCTGGGGAGGGGGTGGCAGGTAAATGGGACGTGGGTTTCTTCTTGGTACGACGAGAACATTTTGGAAAGAGAGAGAGAAGCTAGGTGCACAACACTGTGAAAGTACTGAAAATTTTAGTGCACACTAAAATGGACAAAACCGTGAGTTTTGTGCCCGGTTAATTTCATCTCAACTGTGCCAAGAGGATGGGCGTCCCCTCCACACACAGCGTGAGGGTCCCTCCGGAGATACAGCGAGAAGGCGGAGCAGAAGCAAGAGGGCGAAATCCAGGGGGCAGCCCACCCCGCCCGGGCAGTGTCTGCAGGACCCACAGGCCCTCGGGCCTGGCTCCGGCCTGGCCACGTGCCTCCTCGTGCTCCACCCTTCCGCTTCTCCGCCTCTGCCCCCCTCCCCCAGTGGGCACGTGGCTGGCTCAGGCTGCCCCGGCAGCCCCCAGGGCCAAGGCCGCCCGTCCCCACCCACCTGGCCTCGGTGACGTCGGCAGGGTTTCCCCTGCACACCTTCTCCAGCTGCACGTAGAGGGAACAGTTGACCCTGCGCCAGTCGGGGTCACAGACGGCCAGGAAGTTGGGCCGCAGCCGGCCAATCGTGTACTTGGCCAGGTCTGTCAGCGACTGACTCACGGCGGCCCCGAAGAGGAAGGTCCCCAGCACCTTGTACACGGCAGCCACGTAGTTGTTGAAGTCGGAGCGGGAGTACAGGCGGTCGGTGTACACCAGGTAGGCCTCCCCCGCCGAGACCTGGAAGGTGACGAGGAGCGGGGGCTCTTGGTCGGCCTCTCCGCGAGGCTGCTGGGACGCCCGGCACCCCAGAGGGCCCCACTCCCCACAGGCCAGTACTGCCCAGGTGAGCTGTGTCCCAGATGGCCTGCAGATCTCCAGGGCAGGGCTGCGCCCACCCCCTCCCCCCCAGCCCCTCCCGCCTTACAAGGATGACGGTGGCCGTGATGGTGACGCCGGCCATGAGCCCATGGGTGATGGTGTCTGGACGGTAGGGGTAGCGGATGGAGTCATCTCGGCAGTAGAAGCCCCGCTTGTAGGGGGCATTCGCCAGCGTCAGGATGGCGAAGGGCAGAGAGGCTGGGCGGGGGCAGAGGCCCGGGAGCCTGTGTGGGTCTCCCCCAGCTGGCC